TGGCAGCTAGGGATGGTGCTGAAGCAACAGCGAGCCATGCGCCGAAGCAGCCGAGTGAGATTGTGCATCCTGCGGTGTTCTACAGCGCAGACAAGCACGAGGCTGCGACCGAAGTTGGGAAACATGCACCGTCGACGGCGCATTCGAACATTGCGCCGAATTGGGGACAATGGCCAGGGCAGCACGTGGGTCGGGCGGAGGAGTACGAGGCCTTGGTCAGAGATCATCCCAAGAGCAAGCTGGCTCAAATGGGCTACATTCCGTCGCGCTACAACTTTGAAAGGATCAACTCCAAGTCGGAGCCCTTTCAGAAATTCGCCACGCTTGCCGGTGATGCCGTCAGGCACGAGCAGTCGGCCAAGCCAAAATTGGGCGGCTCTTTCGGCGGCAAGGGCTTGGCGTTGGCCATAGTTGGTGGCGGCCTCGTTGGTGGTCTGTTGTCCTTACCTCGTCCTGACAAACGCTCCGTGCAGGACATTGATTTGGACCAGGGATTGTTGCAGGCCAGATCGCCCGTCGATCGCCTAGCTGCGCGTTCCAGCGCAGTCTCTACAACATTCGACGATGCGGCCTACTACATCGTTCCTCGCACGGTGAGTGTAGCGATGGCGACACGAAGTTGTTGTTTAGGTTTGTTTTGGTTATTCTGACTCGCTTGCACTCCGAACGATAGTCCAACGAATACCCTGCAACCGTATCAAACGTGAGAGATTACCCGGCGAATGTTCAGTGGCAGGATGCAGGTGGAGCTATGCTGATGAGGAGAGGGGTCAGCAGGGATGTCGAGCTTCCTGTTCACTTACGTCGTCGCGGTCCCCAAACAGTTTTCATAGAAAGTTCTAGCATGGAAAGGGCGATTTGGCAAGCAAGGTCTGTCGGTGGTGCGGGAGCGGACATTGGGCGAGGTCTTGTCACTTTGGCGCGAAGGGACGAGCACGTCAAGCACACGGCCGATAGTTAGTGTTGATTTGAAATTTGCAGCGCAGGATGATCATCTCACCCCGCCACGGTGCCGCATCCCTACAGCACCCGCCGAAACGATCCAACGCGTCCGTAATTTCGAGCACAACGTGAGTCATCGTAGAATGCAAGAACAAGGACAGCTTGAGCTGAATTTGGGCATCGCTTCCCTTGCGCAGTTCTTGACTGAACTGAGAATTCGCATCAAGCGATGGGTCAGGATGACTGGTGCAGGTCTACATTGGATTGGCGGACGGCTGGACAATTTGACGAGTCACCCCAGTCGATTATACGTTCCTGGGCCGCCTCTAGAGATCACGCAGGGGCCGAAACGTGCCGATACTAGATCTTGAAGACTACGAATGTTCCTGGCCTCTTCATCAGCTGTGGGTAGTGTGCCCCGTCATCTCTTGCCTGACAAAGATACTTTTTTCAATTCGCGTGACTGTGCTTTCGGGTCGTGGCGAGTCGTGTGCGAGCGAGAGGTCTGTGAAGCGTTCGGCAGGCGTGCTAGGAAGCAAGTCAAAGTCACACACACGACGCTCGAGGCGAGACATGCGCCAAGTTTGGTGCAGAGTCGCGCACCCGATCGACGTCATTTATCGAACGCGCGCGGACCGTTTGAGCACACGACCTGCATCGAGACTCCGCTTCATGTCGGACACGATGAAGAGTGTAGCGTTTTCGAGCCCGTCTGGCCTGCAGGATCTCTCTGTGGTCGACGTTGCAACTCTGAGAAGAACTGCAGGCCGTTTACGGCGTTCTCGCTCGCCTTTCATTGCTGCAAGGACTCATCCACTGCTCCAAAAGCCATCGCGAGACCTTTTTGCTGCAATATATCCTTGTCGTGTCGCGCGTATGCAAAGCCCGGCAAGTGTTTCCCTTATCATTGGCGCGCGGCACTTGCAGCGACGTTTGCAGTTTGTGGGAGCCATTGTACTCGAGCTTCAAAGTTGAGCAGCACGGCTGTTCCAGATTGCGCGCTGGCTCAGATGCCACCTAAACAAATTGGACTGGAAGAGGATCCCAAGGGTCTGCTCGCTTGCGCATCTCGCGTTGCCGACGTTGCCCCCGAGACTGCCGTGGATCAAAGGGGCAATGGAAGGCCAAGGAGGCCTAAACCGCATCAGAAGCCACCAAAGACCCAGTGCCACTGTTGACCTCTGCTCCCACAATGTGGCTCTGCATTCTCTTGTTCCCACAGCCTTGCTCTGTACTCTCTTTCTCCCATGACCTTGCTCCACATTCTCTGGTTCCCACAATCCGGCTCCGCATACTCTTGTACCCACAACCCGGTTCCACAATCACCCTGCCTCTTGCTCTCTCCCATACTCCACTGAATGGACTTGTGAACCCTCTGTGCATGCTTTGGCTGCAGGATCAGCTTGGCAACAACAACGCCATCACCAAGGTCCACTGGATGGTGCTTGCTGAGCGTCTGTGGACTCTCAGCAAAGGGAAGGCCATCTACGCACCTGGCGTGTGTCGGATTTCTCCCTCAAAGAATTACATTGATGTGAGGCTCTGCTTGCCTCAAGTCTTGCAAGCGGTGCGGGCACTAGCGGACAAGGCTTGTCGACGGAATACCCAAACAATGCTCAACAGGCCAGCAAAGGTCTTTGAGCCAGCATGGTCAATGCCGCAGGCACTAAAGGCCCAACTCCCTCAAGCATACCATCAGGTCAAGACGACAACA